GGCTGCATTTTGGGTAGAAGAGCTGGAAGTACATTGTATTTGAGTAGTCCTCAGATTACATCTCAACTTTTCATTTCATCTCCATTCTACATTTTATAGTCCCATTTTTGCTACTATTAAATATAGCTAAATCTAGATGAAAGAAGACAAAAAGACAATGTGGCTTTGTTGGAAATAAACACTATTTGCTGATTCACTGATGTAATAAACTTTTTTAAATTACTGTTTTGAATATTTCCTTTTGTGAAGATGTGATATGCTGCTTTGAAGATGATACAAAAACAAAGGAGCTGTGCAACCACAACAGTTGAAAGGAAGGAGGGGAAAAAAGAGGAAATAAAAGTTGAATTGAAGATCCAGCACCCCTAGGAGCACTGCCAGGGTAACTGGGCTTGCATGGGGTACTGGCAGGGTATTCCCATGGTGTAGCTTTAATTCATACCAGCAAAACTCTGAGTGTGTTTCTGTAGAAAGGAGAGTTTGGGGTTTTTTTCCCTCAGTATAATGGCATTTGCAGTGTGGTACTGAGGAGGATCACACCTTTCTCTCTGACTGTTGGCCAAAGTGTGCAGTGTAGATATGGCTTGAGTGCTTAGCCATGATGTAACTTACAAAAACATAAGTAGTTATTCTATAAGTTAAGACCTTGTATGTCCTTGAACTGAAAACCTTGGCAAATGTAACAAATACTAAATACAAAAAAAATCTGAATGTGAAGCAGTGCTAATTATTTGGCAACAGGAAAATAATTCCTTGTCTCTGCAGGCTCCAGGAAGTAAAGCACAGTAGCTGGAGGAATGGGTGCAGTTGAGTAACGTTGCCATCAACTGTATGAAACCATTCCAGCTACCTTGGTCACCTTAACAGACAATCAGGAACTGATCCACAAACATGGTGACACCAGTTCCTGAAACACTGAATAACTGGCAGTAAATTGTATTCCTGAACAGCAAGCTATTGATGATGGTGTAATAGTGTAAGAAAAACAGCTGCTTTAAGGAGATTTATCCATGGGGATATTTGCTGGTCGCAATTTTTATGCCCCTCTACAGATTTTCTTCAGTGGCATAAAAATCCCAGTGAAAATTACTCAATTAAGAACCTTTATTTTAGATTATTTATGGCACCAGTCTATATATTAAAAATCATGTTAATGATGAGAAATGTGTTTTTATAAGTGTTTATTACTGACTATTACCTAAGAAGAAGAGATTGTTTCAATGCCCAGGTATTTGATCTGTATTACTCTGGCTGTTTGGTTCGTACTGCAGACTGTTGGAATGATGCTGTTAAAGCAGATGACCTGTACTCCAGACAAGACTGTTTTCTTCCTGAACTGCTACTTAAAGGCTCTTAATTGTTCTGCTCCTTTTGTATATTCTATAGAGGATTTGGTACAAAAAAATATACCAACAAAACTGGAGTTACTACTGAAGGTCTTATATTGTAAAGATGTTTATTTCCTTGTGTTTATTTTATCACACTATAAATCTGACAAGATACTACTTTTCCTCTGAAGAAATACTAGAAAGGATTCTAGTCCTAATATAAAATAGAAATTTATGCTAACAAACCCCAAATCTGTTGTCTGTGTATATATAACTTGATAATCCACATGCTTTCATTGGCTTTCCTTCCAATGTAAATTTTTTTACATCTCCTGTCAGTTCCATACATCTAAAAAAGTCCACCTATTTCTCAGTAAGAGTAATAAGAGACATGACAGATTCACTGCTGGGTGACAAAAGGTACTTGAGGCAGTGTTCCTGTCATCTGTTAAGCCCCTGCAAGGGATATGAGGCAAAGATTATAACAAGAAAGATTTGCAGCCTTGTCCAGTGCCAGGGACTGACCTTTGGAACAGCCCCTTGGTGGCTGTGGATGCACCAGAGCCTCGTGTGTGAGTCAGGTACAGCTGAGGCTGACTCCAGCATTGCAAAGGAGCACGGGGGAAAGAAAACAGAGCTTCAGCTCTGCTCTAGTGGGGAGATTCTATCTGAGCTCTCCTGTAAGGCACTTCTTAGTCCTGTCTTAATCTCTGCATACTCTCTGTGCTGGTTTTCTTGCAAGAACTACACTCACAGAGATCTGGGATGTTGGCATTGCCATCAAACGGTCTGGAGGAACACAAGCTGGAAACTGAAACTTGAATAACCTTAAACCCAAAAGACCTCTTTACAGCAGAAACAGTTGCACCTTTTGCTGTGTGAAAGTATAAAATTAGGCATATAAAAAGCATCTTAAATAAGTAATGAGGTAGAACGTCTTGAATTTATTTTCCATCTTAGCATTTAAATAAACTATACAAATTTTTTTAAAGAAAAAACATACTTTCATGATCCAAAAAGTTAAATTGAGAGCTACAGCAGTAGCACCAATAAAAGTAAAAAACCTCATTTCCTTGTAGGAGTAACTGTAAATTTATGACATTGCTAAATTAAAAGTGTGCTTTTATAGTTTATATTCATTGCATGCTGTATTAAGCTGAAATATTTCTTATTCACAGATTAACTTAACTTTTCCAAGACAGGTCTATTAGCTATGCCAAGTACCTTTCAAGAGAAAATTATTAGACTAAGTCAGTTAAACCACATTTGGTAAAATTTAGTCATGTCAGACCAAAACTTTTTCAGAAAAATGTCCTCGGATGAGACTGATATGTGAAAAAATCAAATCTGAGTCACTAATAATAGTCCTTGCAGTTTTATCCTATTAATGCTATACTGACCCAGTAAAGTCAGTCTTCAAACATGCTGTTCAATCACATCTTACAGGACTAGCCTGGCTCATTTTCAGAGAGATGTTCCTGTCATCTGACTTTTTCTATTTTGTTTTAACATATCACATTAATGTTGATATTTTATTAAAATACAGCTGCCCTAAAATGTGCAAAGATAGAAGCAAGGCTACTAGACAGAATACACAGCACTGCAGCCAGTATCACATGCAGAAATTCTAGCAGTACTGAAAAGGTTTTAATGAGTCTGCCCTCCTTGGCTACCCTGTGTGTTCCTAATTTCTCTAATCAGTACTTCATATGACATGGCAACAAAGGACATTTTCTTAGCCAGCTTCTTTTTTGTTTTGATTTGGTTTTGGTTTTGTTTAAATAACACAATAGGAAAGGAAAACTTCCATTTTCCGGGATGTTTTTTTTCACTCTTTAAAGTATGTCGGTATAGTTCTTTCCTGTCTGGATAAGTCTTGATACCATCAACTATTCTACTATTGCTCCAAGGGCACTAACAGCAGAAAGAAAATATAAACCACTACATAAAGCAGCTTGCCAAGAAACGGGGGTATTTTAGTTTCTCTTTGCCACACTGGCCACACTGATGGAGCAACAAATTTTGTTGGAAGACATCTGATGAGAAGGAATAAAACCATACATAGAAAGACAAAGAGCAGGAAAAAAATCCAGAGAAGAGTGAATGACTAAGACTCCTAGTTTCATACATATTTAAGCCCTGGTTATGCATAGCTGTGTAATCCAGAGAGCAGCTTACCTATGTGATGAATGCAGACAACCTAAAGCTGCCAGGGCACACACAGCACTGTGGGAATGAGACCAAAATAATTCCAGGTTAAATTTTATTTCAGAACAATGTACTTATCCAGCATGGAAATCAATGGAATAAGCATTCTGCAATTAAGCTATTTCCATGTAGTCAGTCAATGCATTCCTAAGCTGAAGATGCAGCAGTTCTGCCTTTATTAGTCAAACACAAGAAAGAAGTGGTTTGATGTGATAATCGGTGGTTTGCTGGAAATAGCCATGTTCAAGACAGAGGATGAGGAAAACGAGCAGCAGAATACAGTCCCTGGACTCCATGAGACAGACTCTGATTTATTCAGAAAACCAGTGGGCAGGATCCCATGGGAGGCAGCTCTGAAGGCAAAGGAGCTCAGGAAATCTGGCAGGTGTTTAAGGACAACCTCCTCCAATCATACAAACAGTTCCTCCTGAATACTCAGTAAAACAAGTAGATCTATCAGGAGACTGGCCTGGCTAAACAGGGAACTTATGACAGCACTCCAGTGCAAAAGGACAGAAATATGGGAAGTAAAATCAGGGATAGTCTTCAAAGAAGGAATCTGGAGAACACACTCAATTTTTCATAAACACGATGGTGTGCTGGGGGGCCAACTAGATGGGTAACCACTGTTCAGATAACAGGACTTGAGGGCAGAGATTATGGCTTGTACTCCACCTGAAGGCCAGTAACAAATGGAGTGCTGCTGATATTTGTCCTGGACTATGCTCTGTTTAGTATCTCCAACAGTGACCTGAAGTACGGTCATATCAAGTTTGCAGGGGGCATCAAACTTGGGACCAACCATTACCCTCATGAACAGAGAGACCTAGATAGGCTGGAAAGACTCGGCAACACAAACCCGTCAATGCTCAAAAAAGCCGAATGCAAATCTGCATTTGGGAAGGAGCAGCCCCTTGCGACAACACAGGTTGGGAAATGACTGGCTGGGGAAGCTCTGGAAAGCGCCAGGAGCACAGCAGGCTGAACATAAGCCACCCCTGGAACCAACGGGGGCCAGCAGCACCCGGGGCTGGACTACGAGAGCACCATCCATAAAACAAGGCGAGCCCGACTAAACGTTTTTCACCGTGAAGACACGGTGGCTACAACTGCGAGCAATCCGGCATGACCTCCGTCTGGCCGTGGTGCCGAAGCGAGATAGACTGACGGCCTCCGGCACTCTGCTCCGGTCAGCCGGTGACCCTGCCGGGCAAAGCTGCCTGCAAGCTCAGGACGGGCCCGCCGCACCCCGGGTCGGCAGCTGCCGCCGTGCGCAGGGGAGGGAAGCACGGTGAACCCTGAGCCCCGCTCGCCCCGCCCCGGGTCCGCAGCTGCCGCCGGGCGCAGGGGAGGGAAGCACGGAGCCCACGGCCAGCCCCAAGCCTAGCGAGCCCTGCCCCGGAAGCAGAGCGTTCGGGTGCACCGCCCCGGAAAGCGGCAGCGCGGAGGCCGCACGTGGCGGGAGCGCTGTCCCGGTGTCCCGGTGCCCGGAGCGGTAGCGCCATGGCGAGCGGGAGGAGCCCGCTGGATCGCGCCCAGGTATGTGGGACCGGCGCGCCCGGGGGCTGCGGGGAGCAGGGCCGGCGGGAGCGCGGCCGGGCCGGGCTTGACCCGCGGCTGGCGCCGCTGTGGTGCCGTTGCAGGTGAAGAAGGCGGTGGAGGCTCTCTTGGCTTTCTCCCGAAGCAAGGCAAAGGGAGACGCGCTGCTCCTCAACGAGGGCGAGAGCGTTCATCTCCTGGTGACGGTGTGGAAGGTCCCGCAGGCGGCAAAGCTCATCAGAATGTAAGACACTGATATCCGGCCGCATGCGTACAGGGATTGGAAAAGAACACTTTGCAGATTCTGAGCTCAAGGGGTTTGACTGCCACGGCCTTGTCCTGGGAGCTTCTGTGCCGTGACTAAGAACTGCCGGGTCAGAAGCTGCTTTTATATCCTACTTTTGGTGTAACTGCAGCTTTTTGCATGCAGCATGCTGGTTCTGTGGGTTGCCATTTACAATGCCTTTCAGTGCTTAAGCTACAGAAAATATCTAGACATTACCTATGTCTATATCTAGAATCACCTTCTTTGTCTTGATCCACCACTACCAAATCATTAGTAATACTTCTTTGTTTTGATAACCAAACCTGAATATGAATTAGAAGTCTCTTTTTAGACTGTAGCTGCACTACATTGAGAAAGTTTCAATCCGTTTATCAGGGCCACGGTGTTATAACTTTTTTTTCTAATGCCTGGATGCAGCCATGGCATGAAAGGAGGAGCATGAAGGATCCTCCTCCTCCTCGGACCTGTGTGGTAAGGGCTGCTGGCAGGATAGAGGGTTTCGCTTTTGGGTCTGACTGGAGCCGTGGTATTTTATGGTTTCACATTTAAAGTTCTGTATGCTTATCAACTCTAGGTTCCACAGAGAATATTTAGTAGTTAACAAAGTGTAAATACAGGCAGGTTGTTAAAGGGGACAGATCTCCAGTGTAGTCCTAGTTCTGGGGAAAACTTCTCTTATTAGACATTTTTTATACATCTTATATTCTCATTGTAGACCACTGCCCCATGGCATTCGACCAGAAACAGCTGATGTTTGCCTGTTCACAAAGGATGAACCAAACTTATCAGCAGAACAGACTGAAAATCTGTACAAGAAACTTTTACTCCGGAATGGGATCAGAAGTATTAGCCGGGTAAGGCCGGTCCTTGTTGGTATAATACAGTACTGCCATTTCTTTCCTTTTTTACCACCAAACAGAATACAAGTAGTTGTTCTTTTCTGCTGTTTAATATTCTAATTCTCATTCACATACTCTAGTAAGATTTTTCTGACTACTCAAACTGTGATGTTTCTAAAATGCAAAGTTTACTCAGAATAATTTCTTCAGTTTCAAACAGGATTTTTAGTAATCAGATACAATTTCTAGATAAATGTTCAATATTTAGTTTGAGTAACCAACTGGGAGAATTCACGTTTGATTGTTTATGCCATTAGCAATAAAACTGTATAACAACATGTTATATTTAAACTTGATTTGGATGCTATTCATGTATGCAAGTTCTGTTTTGTGATGTGCAGTTACTATGCAAGAGATCCATATTTTTTGATACTTTAAGGCAATAGGAAATGGATACTTTGTGATTGTTTGTGATTGTCTTCAGTGTTCTAAAAGAATGCACTGTGATGGACTATCAGTTATGCAGCTTTAATCTGTGCAGTTCTGAGAAGCATTTCAGGTTGCATTTTCAGCAGCAGGGGCTAAACTGGTGCTTGTGTTGCAGATCATCTCCTACAAAACCCTCAAAAAGGAGTACAAAATGTTTGAAGCCAAGCGGCGCCTCCTGAACAGTTTTGATCTCTTTCTGTCTGATGACCGAATTAGAAGGCTTTTGCCCTCACATCTGGGAAAACACTTCTATGAAAAGAAAAAGTAGGTCTTTAAACTTTGGAAATCCATTCTTGCATTATCTTTTTTAAGATCAGATTCTTCTTAGTAATGGAGGAATTGGTTTTCTTTTGGGTTTTCTAATTGTTTCCTTTTTTTACCCCTCTCCCTTTGTGTTTTAGGGCACCTTTATCTGTAAACCTGAAAGCCAAAGATCTTGCCAAGGAACTGGAAAAACATATCCAAGGGACTACACTCCCAGTTAACAACAAAGGGTGCTGTTAGTAAGTACAAATAGGTTAATACATCACTTGAAGGATGGTTCTGTCTTAACTGTTGGAATTTTAAGTGAGTTATTTTTATTCCTTTAGTATGCAAAAAAAAGATGTTAAGGGTTACCATTGCAAATGGGGGGCATTTTGAACCTTTACCTGTATAGTTAAATTAGTAGTTCTGCTTGAGTTTTACTGTGAAGTTGAGGGGTTTTGTTTCTTTTTCCTTTTACCTAAGGAATTTCTAGGTACCTGTCACTGTCAAAGTGCACGTACAATCTTAGTTTTAATCTAATGTAATAATATTTTTCTATTTCCAAAATATTCTAGTCTAATAAGATTTTTTTTTCATGTATTGTGTATCTGAAAGGATCCAAATTGGTAGTAATGCTTTGTAATGTAAGGCAGAAGTTGCATATCCAAATATGGAAAGATGAATTCAGGTGAATCCCTTCTAAGTGTTATCACAAAAGATTTCTGCAATAGCCATCCCTCCTTTATTGCAGATAAGGCTTTTTGCATTTCTGGGTATGCCTAAACTAAACAAGTGACTTGAAATAAGTTTATTTGCCCATATATAATTATTATTCATTTCTTTTTCCAGTACAATGCGCATAGGTCGCACTGGGATGAAAGTGGATGAGATACTTGAGAATATCATTGCAGCAGCAAAAGTGATTGGTGACAAGTTACCAAAGGTACTGCTGATTGACTGCATTACAGACAAATAGGTTCATTCTTCAGCCTTATTTTTACATTATATACTGGTTTTGTTTTTGCAGAAATGGAAAAATGTAAAAATTCTTCACCTCAAAACACTTAAATCAGTTGCACTCCCAATATTCACTGCGGATATCTCCAACCTGGATGAGCTTGACAAACAGCCATCCCTCAAGAAAAGTGAAGTAAAGGTAACCAAAATTTCTTCAAACTTTGCATAAATTAAATCTGTACATTTAGTTGTAGTTCTTTGTTTTCCTTCTACTCATTGTTATTTTGGGTTTAAATGCATTAGAACTGATCCCAGGTTTTTATGGCTAAAACTGGTCAGACACTCCTACCTCAGTGCTTCAAATACTCAGCAATGATAATGAAATTATGGCAACTCCCTTACAGGTTTTAAAGCAAACTGTAAATAAATTATTTCTAGACCTGAACTCAAAGGACCTGAGATTCATTCTTAGAGCTTTGCTTCTATTGTTTATCCATATTTACCTTCTGAAAATACACTCATTAATGTATATATGGATTCAGATTATGCATCTGTTTTTTGTTGGTTAATCAGTGGCATCTGAATAATTCTCAATCTCATATATTTGTGTATATAGGGGGACCTCAGACTTGTTAAAAAATAATAATTGGCTATTCCTTTGTACTGACTTCTGTTTATATTCATTTGTCTGAAATTAAATTGGGACCGTGAATATTCAACTTAGAGACTGTAAGCTTGACATTACTGTAGTTGTGAGCTACTTATAATAAACTTCTGCATGTAATGCATTTTTTCATATTTTACATATGGCTAAATGAGTCCAGGTCTATTGAATGAAAGTCTTTAATGTTGCTATGCCATCTATTTAGAAATGGCATAGGGATTTGTCTGAGATGTACTTCTTATTAATTCTAGAAGGTAAAACCCAAGAAAGTGAAGAAGACAGCTAAAAAACTGAAATCAAGTCAAGTCACTGTGACAAAAGAAAGTAAAGCTGCTGGTGGTACTCAGGAGCCTGTGGTAAAAGAAAAGATAGAAGTGGTCCAAGAACCAGGTGATTGTGATGACGAAGAAATTCCACAACTGGTGCCTATACAAACAACGAGCTCAGCTGACCTGAAGGTAATTGTTGAATAATATTAAGAAACTTGCATTTCAGTTAAAGCTAAAGATTTTGAACTGTTTCATTTTTGCATTGTTCCTTAGGGAACAGTATGTGGTAGCATAATTCAAGACTAGAGCACAGTTCAGTTGAAAGTATTTGTCATTTGTAATGGTTTTCACTGATCCTTCTTCCTTAAAAACAGGAAATATGTTTCTTGGGTGAAATGGTAATTTTTTTGTTTGTGTTAAATACAGAAAATGGGACCAAATTCAGGAAAAGGTGACAATTTGGGCAAGAAAACCAAAACACCCCTTGGTAAGAGAAAGAAAACATCTCTAGTGGTGGATACTCCAAAATCAAAACCTGAGGTTACAGAAGAGAGTGCAAACTTGGAGACACCATCAAAAGAGAAAAAAGCCAAGCAGGTCAGTAAGCCAAAGGAAGCAATAAAAGAAAAAGACATGAAAAAGGCTCCAAAAAAACCTGAAGCAAAGTCTTTTGCAACACCCAAAGCTGGCAAGTCACTACAGTCAGCCAGGAAATCTTCAAAAGCACAGAAGCAGACACCCAGAAAGGTGCGCGTGCCACAGTCAGCATGAACATTGTCTGTTTAACGTATTTTGTATCATCTTTTTCAGTAAACACAGTTATTGATGAAGTAAAATACCTTCTTAGGAAATCTGATCCTAAGAGTTTTTTTTTCACCAAGGTCTGTAATGATTCATCGTTTTCCTTCTAATTTCCAAGCTGGTACAAATAAACTCCCTGTCTTAATGGTCCCATCACCTTTTCTCTTTTGCTGGCCCAAACCAAAAACACTCAAATTTTTCAGGTGTCAAAGGGAAGAGAGAGGTTTTGCTTTAACCATATATATTTTACAACATCAAGCAAAATCTTACCTTCAGTTTTGGGCTTTGTTTCTGCTACCAGAACAGTTGAGAGTATTCTTGTATGATGGTCACAGAACTGTTGTTCTTCCATCTGAAAGCCAAAGTCTGTGTGAATTCCAGTTGTGCCAGCCAAGTGAACTTGTCCTGTTAGGGCATGAAAAATACATACTTCAGGACTGAAAGGTGATGTATTTGAAATTTTACACAACTGCTTAGTTGTTCTCTGTATGATAGCTTGTCTGTACTTTGCAGAGTGAGAATATGAGGCAGATTTGTGTTGGAAAATCCTAGTGGTAAAACCTCCAAATAGGAATAAGAGACAAGATTAATCAACAGGAAGTAACCAGCCTACTTTTTCTTTCAAAAAACTACCACATCTCCTTTTTATCCTCACATCAAGATATTGGCTAGGAAGAAAATGGGTGCTAAATAAGAATATGAAAATATCCTCTTTGATCTGTGGTGTCAACTTTTTTTGACGTTTTTGTAACTTTTCAACTATTTTGTGAACCAAAAGCTGTGATAGTAATCCCAGTAAACCAATAGCACTCACTGTCACTGGAAGAGTAGCAGCAGTATAATTTAATGCACACTATTTCCACTAAAAGGGGGAGGGTACCCATTCTATTAGGCTTGGTCATGGTTCCTGTTAGCTTGATATTTCTAGTTGCTGGAACAGTGGTTTATGCATCATTAAATAAGGTGTTGGATATAAGACCCTTTTGAGAGCAGGCACAGGAGATCCTACATCTAAATACAGTTCTTGTGCTTGAGGACTTGAGAGTGTAAAAAGATATGTATCAGGTCATTAACACAAGGGTGAACTGAAATACGTGTCCTGCCTTTTATATAAATGTTTTACTTACTGAATTTTACATCCTGCATTTACAAGTTGCTTCCTGTTTGTCAACCTGAACTTGTATTCCAGCTGCTCTTTTTAAGCCTCCTCAAGCACAGTTTAAGGAGTCTTATGTGCATTTGCAGATGCACATTGTAACTGTCCTGCAAATCTCTGCTGTCTGCGACCAGCTTGCGTCTCTTGCAAGTGCAGAGATCAGCGAACTGGGTGTTCATCCGCGGACCCCTTTTCTGAAGTGCCTCCCTTCTGGGGTGCCTGAGGGGGCACTGCCTCAGGCGGGCCCAGCTGTGTCCGGCTCACCTGGAAACGGTAGCGAGCACTACTCGCCTCGCCTTCCGAATGCCATCGGTCGCTGCGGCTCAGCCTTCGAGCCGCACCGCGGCGGGCCGGGGGCTCGGGGGGCCGCTGAGGGCGGTGTGTGCCCGCCTTCGCCCTCTCTGCGGGCAGCTGCGGGGGTGGAGGCGCGGCCCGGCCGAGCCCTCAGCTGTGTGGGGGCGGCCCCTCAGCGCGGGGGGCGTGGCTGCACCTGCCCGGGTGGGAGGGCGCGGCCCGGCCCTGCCCTCAGGTGGGCGCCGCCCTCGCCTCCCCTCAGGTGCGCGCGGCCCGAGGCGGCGGTGGCGCCGCTCCCGATGGCGGCCCCGGGCGGGCTGGGCCGCTGCGTGGCCGCCTTCTGGCTGGCGCTGGCCTTCGACGCGGTGGGGCTGGCGGTGCTGCTGGCGGGCGTGTTCGCCGACGTGTTCTTCTCAGACCTGCTCATCTACGCGGGCGGCATCGGCATCTTTCTCAGCCTGGTCTGGTGGGTGTTCTGGTACGCCGGCAACCTGGAGGTGCCGCTCGAGGAGCTCCGGGACGACGTGGGGCTGCCGGCGCCCAAGGGCCGCGGGGACACGCTGCTGAGGCGGCTGGTGAACGGCGTCAGCCTCCGCCTCACGGCCGCGCTCGCCCCCGCCCGCCCCGCCGAGCTGGAGCTGCAGCGCGCCCGGGGCCCCCGCGGCCGCCACGCCGAGCCCGGCAGGTGAGAGAGCGGGACGGGACAGCGCAGGGAGAGCGGCTGCGAGCGCTGGCTTCGGCCAGAGCTCGGGAGGGCTGTCCTGCCCGAGATTCGGTGTAACACCTGCTAGGTTAAACCACCTGCACGCAGCTGAGTTCTTAAAATAAAAGTAGTGGGGAATCTTTCTCAGCTCGGGTGGTAAAAAAACGAGTGGGAAAGATTGCACAAGTGGAATTAGGCAGGGAAGACACTTCCTGTCGCCGTCTAAGAACGGAACGGGCGAGCGGGAGCGGAGCCCGGGCAGGGTGGTGGGGCTGCGTGCGGAGCTGCTGCAGAGAGCAGCACAGGAACCGTGGGGCTCTGAACTGATCCTCACAGCAGCCAAACGCTGCCAGAAATGGCCATTAACCACCGCCCCACACGAGCTCTCGGGAGGGGAAGCCCCCTCGTAAGCACCATGAAATGTTGCTTTATTGGAGGACAAGAGAGGTGAAATGCTGACTTGGATTTAACTTGGGGACAGAGCTGTAGGTAAGAGGTTGAAACTCACAAATGCAATCATCAGTTAAACTGTTTGTCTTGAACCTCAGTCATCTAGAAAAGATGTGATAATACCTGATGTGTAAAGGAAGTGTCTTGATCCTATTTCAAAGCATGGTTGAAGAACATGAAGCTTTTCAATACACCCTAGTATATTCATTTAGGAAGAAGGCATGCTTAATGCCTTAAAAATGTGTGTGGGGAAAAAAGTCAAGCCTTCACTTCCCTATGTAAAATCCTCTGTTGAAGGAACTATAAACAGTTTTGTACTGTTTGAACTGTTCAAGGATTCTAAACATCTCGCTGTTCTGATTCACTATGTACAAGATCAACTTTTCCTGCTCCTCTTTGAAACTAAATTCTGAAGACAGAGTTGATTTACAGAAAAGTTCATGTGAAAATCGTCTTCTTTCATGAAAGCTATGAAATTTTTTATTGAGAGAAAGTTTTAACAGTAGGGAGATTGAGTCTATTAAGTTTCCTTAATAGAAAACTTGTCGGAGGCAGGAAATAATAGCGGCAACACAACTTTCAAAGACTGTTACTGCTCTTTAGTTGATTATTAACTACACCTGCAATTACAAAACAGGCTGTTGAAAATGAGCCATTCTATTTTCTCTTTTTTTTTCTGAAATGGGTCTAAAATTGGCAGGTCCCTATTTGCAGGAAAAGATTTGCATTTATAAATGACTATTCAGAACAATTCTATGGCAATTGCAGGTACTGAGCTCAGTGGATAATCTGCTGTCTCTGTAGATGCAATGTGTGTACATGGATATGTTTTCTGTTTTAATGAACTCCTAGTAGTGAAAGTTATCCACTATTTTGAAATATTTCAAGTCTTATTCCTGATTGTAATTAGATTTATATGTCCTATAGGGATGTATAAATAAATAAATAGTGATTTAATACAAAATATCCCAGCAGCTTCTGTTGCTACAGTAAACAAACTTCAGTAATGGTAATTCAGAAGGAACCAAACAGGAGGTGTACAGCACTTATGTTATGTATTGGAACATAAACTCTTTGATTTTACTTGCAAGGTGAAACAAAAGATAACAAATGGTTTCACCTTGAAAAATAATTTAGAAGTAAGTTTCTTTTTGAAGTAAGTTCACCTAAAGTATCTTAGAACTTCTCGTAAACAACTGTCTGAATCAGATCATTCTATGCTGATAGACCAAATCCTCTCCCCATCAGGAGATATTTATGAACTTAACCAAACAGGTTAAACATGTTTGGGCAGATATTGTCTGCACGAGGAGGAAAAAACCACCACCACACACACACATTGAGAAAGGAAAAAACAACCAAAAAACCCAAACAAACAAACCCCCAAAACACCACATGCACAAAAAATTCCTCCCCTCAAAAAATGCCAAACAAATAAACAAAAAAAAACCCCCAACCAACCAAACACTACATGTTGTTCTCATTTCCTGTCTTAAAAATTAAATTCTAGAGAAAGGAGAGAATTCTCATGATATGCAATGCTTTTATTGAAGGAATAACTAGTAGATTAGGATCCCCAAGCCTGAAAAGAGGTGCAGAATATAAAGTGTTCCAGGGGTCATTGCAGCCACTATGGGGCAGGTATGAAGTGCTTCCCTCCCAAGGCAAGGCAGGAACAAACTGTCCTGTGCTATGTGATTGAAATGTGGGATTACTTGATGTGGGACAGTGGCAGAAATAAAAATGTACTCATTCAAAAATCCAGAGGACAAAGCAGAAAATATATGATAATATAAAGAGAATATGTTTGGCTCAGGAAGACCTGAGGTAGTTGATATCCTGAGGAAATATTGTGTATTTTTGTGCCATATTCTTATGCCTTCAGTGAGACATCACACTTGGCCACTATTGGAGATGGGCTGGTGACTTGATGGATCTTTTCTTTGAGTCCCAATTGTCTGTTAAACATGAGGAAAAGTACTTTTAAGATTGACCTTAAGTAACAGTTTAGAGTTGTATGGCCACTTGTTCTAAGCCTATTTTGGAGTAACCTTTTCTTCATGTGTTACCTTCAGGATCTGTTGAAGACACGACTAATGAAGTTATTGCCCCAAAAAGTGGGAGAAATGCTACAAATTATGGAAGGAGATTCCCTACCCCAAACAGTAGGATTCTCTCATTGTGGAATAACCTCTGCAAGCATTGTGGACTCTCCATGAAATGGACACATGGAGCCATATCTGCCAAAAGTACCTGTTTCAGTGTTGGACTGGATATGCTTGGAAATTATGAAAAAACATCCCACAAAATCACTTTAAGAAGTGAGAGCTAAAAGAGAATTGAACCTGATTCACTGAAAAATCAGTGCAGCTTGTCATATAGTTGGTTTTATTGTTGTAATTATTATTATTATTTTTAATAGCCTGAAAGGTTTGGATAAAAAGCTCTTGCATGACGAAAAGCTCTTGCACTGTTTTTTACCAAGGTCTGGAAGTTAAACTTACTGTGAATTTTTATAATGCCAGTGCAATACCTTCGTTTGTAAGGGTGCTTTTAAAATGTGTATATTAAACTGTGGATGCAAAGCTGCAAATGTAGTAGAAGTTGTTTATAGTGCAAATACACAATTTACAGCATCTCTTGTAAAAAGTTTCATTGTTATTCTGAAATAACCTGGAATCTGAGATTTTATAAATAGACAAATAACACCAATGGTGTGGGCATACAAGTACATTCTTTGTAGTTACAAATGATGTAATATGATGACTCTTGCAAGAGGCATTTTTAGTCCAGTGATGTTGGAAATTCTTTTCCTAATGCTGAAGCATTTGAGAGAGGGAACATGACCAAAAGAAACTGTCGATTAACAAGTACTCCAAGGCATTATTAAACATTAACAAACAGTACCTGGAAAATCATTTATATTAATGCTAGTGATACCTAAAATTGAGCTAATGATGAAATTGTGTGGAGAATTTCCTCAGGAGTTCTTCTGGTTTTGAACTAACACTAAGAGTTTGGTGCCACCATCAGCAAATACTGATAGATCTTAAAATTTCAATGCACAATTGTTCTATGCCACACCTCATTGAATACTAGAGGTGGAATTAAGGAAATATTTACTAAGAACACTGTGGCTGTACTTCCTTATGAACTCTTGAAATGTCTTTCAGTGTTTTCTTGTAAAATTACTGGAGTAACTTCTTTTTTTTTGCATATTCTCATTTTTAAATGTTTTCCAAATGCTCTATCTTTTAACAAATCCAGAAGAACACTAAACTTGAAGGTCTGCAGTGTGA